CAGCTTCCGTGGTGGAGGATAAATATTGATAATAGTAGTGACGCAGGGCATCTGATACAGATGCAGGTGAGTTAGGCCAAACATCAAGGTTTTGATCTGTAACCTGCATAGAAAAAGCTTAATATATAATTTAAAACGCCAGATGCCTGTGTGCAGTCTGAAGCACATTATATGCGACCATAAGTGATAAGCGCCTACAATGCTGGAATTACATGGAAGTGATCAGTTGTTGGATTCATATCATTAAGAAAAAAAACTAATCCCCTAGAAGAAACGAAAATAAAGGTCAAGTACAGAAAACATACTAGAAATATGACAAAAAATTATAATACCCATACATTAATGATTGATTATGATAATCATCTCAATCAACATTCAAGTCACAAACCAAAGATTGCCGTAAAAAGTTGGAATAAACAAAAAAAATTTAATCAACTTAGTTGGTTATTGATGAGTTTATTTTTAAATATATATACACACACACTATTTTTGCAATTATTGACATGTTTGTGAATATTAAGAAAACGATGTGATTCATCTAACGAAATTTTCCTATAATTCTGGTAGAAACATGAGTATTCCTTGCTTTCTACTCAAACCAGTTGTCTCTAACATTAAACAGCTTGAACCATCTTAGGAGTCATCTTCTCAAAGGTCATGAATTACCTATTAAGTCATTAAATTTAAGATCATCTTTTTTACAGATGGAAACCAAAGATTTAAGATTATCTTTTTTACAGATGGAAATGAAATAAGGTTTCTAGCTCCTCTCTTCTAGGAAATTGGTGCATACTATACAACAATTAACTCAAAGAACAACACGACAACAAAAAGTCCATAATCTTCCATGGTGCATACCTCTTCATAAAATGTCATTGCAGTAAGTCGATAACCTGCTATAAGCAGATATTCCTTCACAGCACGATTAAGATCTTGACGTTCATTGCCTTTAAGTGGACCCAGATCAGAGAAGCCATCCCTCTTTTCTTCATAAGCCTCTTGCCGACCACTAATTGTAGAATCAGCCTTTGTATCTACTAAATCAATCGAGAGAAATAACTTCAGGAATCAGATAATAGAAGATAAGCATTGACCAATCAAATAATATCCACACATTGCAGACAAGAAATTATTCAAATATTATGCTTATTGTAATATGGCCTATAAACATTTTGGCACGAGTTCTTTTCATGTTTCTGAAGAATCTTACTTTCCTTGATTGAAATCATAAAGCAAGGATTTGAGGCATCCACAAGGATACCAATCACCCCGGTTGATAAAAAAGCCATGAGTGTGGAGTGAGAGCGACTAGAGTTTACTTCAGAATTAGAGGTTTTTGATGTAGTTGCACATGTTTTTGCTCTTTTCATTGAGATTGGGTCAGTATTCAAAAACCTAATTCCTGTTGACACTGCAATTGTATCGAGCAAAGAAGGTGGGGCCATGACTGGCTGCTGCACTAGCACTTTCTACCTTTACTTCCAAACCCACTAATCTTTTGGGAAGCAGACCTTCAATATCTGAAACGCTGAAAGTATTAGGATTCCAAAGATTATTTTAGATGGACACTGCAGTCTTTGCAAACAATTTCCCCCATTGTTCAGCCGTTTTTCAGCCTTAGTTTTAATAGAAATAATCAAATGCAATCAAATTGATGCAAATGTCTACATACGTACATATATATATATATATATATATATATTACCACTCAACACAACTGAACGGGCCTCCTTCTTTTTCTGCAATTCGATCTTCAACTTTGAAATGTCTTCTTGAGCTAAGCGCAGCTCATACTTGCTGATAGCTAACTTTTCTGCTATTGCTTCTTTCTCCTCCAACAAAGTTTGAGGCTCTGCAACTGCCCTCAAATAGGAAAGAGAGAAAAGGGACATTACATCCAGGAACACGATTAAACAACAATATCATGATTCTCTACAAAAATTAGTCATAGAATGTAAAGAAAGCAGAAAAGTTTAATTTCTTCTAAACCAAACATAAAGAAGAAAAATCGACGTTATTATATATATGTGTGTGTGATATATATATATATAACTTCATTAAAGAAGCAAGACAACAAAAATATACTGGGAGACAAGGTCTCAACCCAAAAAGAAGTCCCAGGGATTACATAAAAATCCTCTAGTTGGCAATAAAGAAAAATAAGTAAAATTACCAAAAAAAAAATTAAATTCTCAAACTCTTCTTTACGGTTATCCTTAAATATTACAAGATTAATTTCCAACTATACCGCCCAAAACAAAGACTTGTCCAATGGGAGGAATGTTGATCTGCGACCATTTCTCCATTGGCATATGAATCGGATTTTGAGTTGTCTAAGGTCATAATCGAATTATTGTATATTTGAGCTTATTTTTTCTGCTTCTATCTATCTTGCTATATTTTTCCAACTTCTATCGCATTATCCAACATCCGTGGGTATTCAACTAGTTTTCTCAACCCTGATGTCTATCCACTAAGTTACATAGCAAGACAATTAGAACTCCTGTATCAAATCTTCAGCATAAGCTATAAGCGACACATGCGATCAAATTTAAGCAAGACAATGAAAAAAAAAATATATTAACCACTAAAAAGACAGATAATTATATGCACTTCTAGATAAAGGCCAATAGTTTGCTGATATTATTACGATTCATTTCCTCCATTTATTGAAAATAAAAATCATGATGTCAGGTTTAAGGATAATGTAGAATCTTGTAAAAGCCTATTGTTCAGGCCAAAAGCTGCAATTGAAAATTGGGAAGATCCCGGGCACAGTTTGTATCGGTTAAACAAATTATGGGAATTCAAAAAGCAAATAAAACCAATGTTTTACGTCAATGCAGGCTATGGAATTGAGATTGACGACACAGAAAGATTTGGAGCTGTGGAACTTAAGATTGAGAGCGAATTATAGAACCGCTCTACTTCAACAAAATTTGACAATAGTAGAAATCAAGTACAAACCACATTCCCCTAATTTCTGTTCCCGGACGGAAAAAATAGAAGCAGAATAAATGCATACAAGGCAAATTAGATATCAGGAAATTAACATGATAGAGGAGGGGAAAATAAGAACCTCGAGGAGAATTGAAGCGGGAGATTTGATCAGGAGGGAAGTGAACAGGATCGGAGAAGAAGGCCTTGAGGCGAATGGCCTGCGCTTCCCGTCCATCGTCGAGAAGCTCGTGGAGGAGCTCAAATGCTGTCAACACATAGTTCTCCTCCAGCAAAAAGTTAACGACGCAATTGCACAACGACGATCTTTCCACGTCCATGGAAATGGTTTTGCAGAATCGGGTCACATACTACCTCAACTCAATGAGAAAACCATTGTTTATTCTCGAAGTCCATCTTCATTACGTCGAAAATGAGATGAAATGAAATGAAATGAATTGAATTGAAGAAGAGAGGAAAAAGCAGCGGCAAAGCTCTGCTGGATCTCAACTCTCCAGTCTGATTCAGTTTTTTGGATCTTCGTGGTTTCCCAAGAAATTAATATTTTCTCATGTGGAGACAAAACTGCACTTTTTTTTCTTTTTTTTTTCTTTTTTTTTTTTAATTCACTTTTATCATTACCTTTAATTTAACATAATCTAAACTTTTACTACTTTAAATACATAATAAATTTTATATTTGGTTGACTTTTTCTTTAAATCGTCAACAACTTTAAATTTATAGCTATTTATTTTTATTTCTAAAGTTAAACAATAAATTTTTTATTTTTTATTTTTTTTTTGTACCCTTCATTTTAGTCTTTACACTTAAAAAAAATTACTATTTTAATCCTGACTTTTTAATAGATGGTTGATATAATCTTAAGTAAGTATCTTTATATATATAATTCAAATAAGTTGAAGACATTAAATAAATGAGATTAGGTGATAAAATAGTATATTTATATTTTCATGAAATTGAGATATGGTAATTTCTATTGATATTGACATTTAAAATCTCAATTATAACTTTTTTTTCGATAAAATTATTTATTTGGTAAAAGATTGTTATTTTTTTAAATACACATTGTCTTAAACTCAACCGTTAAGTATGGGAAGCTGCTTACCGTCGTACACTCATCCCAAGAATCAAAATCAAGTCGAGACCTATTATGTATTACACACTGTTTCAGAATCACCTACACCAAAACTCCATAAAAAGAAAGAGCAGAGAAATAACAAAATTTGGGATATGGAGGGAAATGAAGGGGAGATGTTTGAAATTGGTCCCATGCAAATCTGCATATCTCTGATACAATGAAGAACAGATTGGAGAATGACCTTGTCCTTTGTGACCAGCTCCTTCCTTTTGCTCGAGCCAGCCCCACAGTCACAGCCTCTCTTTATCCAACCTAACAAAGCCAAGTACCTGAGAGAGAGAGCTGTGTGAGATCCCATATCTGTTGGAGACGATAATGAAACATTCTTTATAAGGGTGTGGAATACTCTCCCTAACAGACGTGTTTTAAAATCGTGAGGCTGACGGTGATACGTAATGAACCAAAACGGACACTATCTACTAGCAATGGAGTTGGGCCATTAACGAGAGAGAGATTAGTGTAAATCCAAGGGAGATTTTTTTAGAATATTTTGCTTTTACAAACTTTAGAAAGAGATGTAAGTGAGGAAATAATACCTGGTTTTCTGTTCTGGCTATGATGACCTTGTTCAAAATCAATATGCAGATTATTCAAACCAACTTCAGGAAGGAGATTCTTCCATTTCTTCAGAAGGACGTACTTTTAGAAGTTGATTGTTCTGATCTTCTTGTTTTCAGTGATTACACGGCCATTGCAGCACATAATGAAGATGCCAACGTTGCTCTGTAAGTTCACAAGCCTGAACTTTATCCCACTTCTATAAAAAGAGCCCACCGGACTCATAAACAAGTTCATCTTTTCTTCACTTCTGTAGCTATTTGGAAAAGGAAAACTGCAAAATGGGCTATCTCCTTTCTTGCTTATACATACGCAGGAGAGCTTCCGAGCTGCGCTTTTGGTTTTGATACTCATGGACGGGTAAAGCTTTGATACTATAGTCATCCATTCATTCTGCAGGAATTGAACATGGATAGATCTTAAAAATGAAGTAATTGGCTTGGCCAGTTATGCTTCAAGGATTCAAACTCTCCATAGATATTGAAGTATTGAAAACTGATACATAACATCTTTTCTAATGTTGTCCAACTATTTTGATATTGAACGCTAAAACACGACATTTTTAGAATCTTTTAGGTATTTACCTTGAATTCAGTGCCTCAAACCATGAAGAGGTTGCAGCAGGGACAATTGGATGACTTTATATCTCCCGGGATCCCTTTGAATCTACACGCCTTGAGAATGCAATATTTGCAATACCCTGCAACAATGTCTTCTATTATAAATGTTCTAGCTTACGAGCGCAACTTTGAAACATGAAACAATGGGTTCAATTCTCTTTACAGAAAATTCGCTCAGCGGAGTATCCGTTGGGCACAGTTACAACCTGAAAGATGATCAGACAAGAAGAATTGTGAATGTAGAAACAGCATCAAGGTTTAGATTTTCAGTCGAGGAGGTTGGGGCTACACCATTTTTTCCATGCAAATATGTATACCCATCTTCAGATTAACCAGGTAAGGATATCAGGAGAATCCACCTATGAAGCAATGGCAGCATGCAATTGCATAAGCCTGGCCTTCTCATAGAAACTAAGTTATATTCTTTAGCAGTAAAATTTCTCCTCAGAACCTTCTCTGTGACATTGAATTTTGAATTAGTAGCTACATGACAGAACAAAAATAAAATATGACAAGTGATCATATAAGATAAGCTTTTGAAACACAGGTACAAGACGAAAACTCCACAAGCAGGCAGAAACAAGCAGATGTCTAGCCAAAAGTATCAAAAAATAATTTCCTGTCGACTCTTGGAGATATGGATGACAAGAAGTATCCGATCTATATGACTGGTAAATATCAAGATGATTTAAGTTTCCTAGTCCTTCTAAACCTACAATTGAACATTTTCTTAATGTCTTCAGGCCCTACACTTTACACACTGTGTACAGCTCTAATTGAACTGGACAAACAAACTCTATCAATTATTCAAGGAAATCTGAAGGAAAATGTGATATCCCATGTCTTCTCCTTGCCTTTGGTGGAGCTGAAGAAACCATAAGCACACTGCTGCCTCCATATGTTGCTAGTATTTAAGAACGTTAATTCTGAGCTCTTATGCTGGTTCATAAAGGCCCAACATATGACCGTCAATACATCGCATGGATGCAACCTGAAACAAGCAATTGAAGCTTTAAAAGCCTTAATCATTTATGATTCAAGAGAGTGGGGTGGCGAGTTTATACCTTTCCGTGTATTTCATACTTTATTGGACCATCTAGTTCAGCTCCCATTGCCATTAATTTGGTTACCGTGCTGTTAATATCTGTCACCGTGAATGATAGCAGCGAAGAATATCCCTTCTGTTGCACAATATGGTCACTGTGACTCCAAGTTAGCAGATTAAGCATCCAATCAAGGCCAAAGCATCTAAATATGTGAAATTAAAACATCAAGTTTCTATATCAAACTAGGGGAACAAAATATTTATCTCAAAATACGGCTCAACTTGCTTGCTTTGATAATTCATACTAAGGATAAAGCAAGCCCATGCAGCGATTTAAACATTCAATACCAGTGAGATCCTACATCGGTTGAAGAGGGGATCGAAACATTCCTTATAAGGGTGTTGAAACCTCTCCCTAGTAGATGCGTTTTAAAACCTTGAGGGGAAGCCCACAAGAGAAAGTTCAAAGAGGACAATATCTATTAGCGGTGGGGTAGGCTGTTACAATACCTCTCAATCACGGCCAACTCTAAAGGGAAACAATTTAAGAACTAGTACTTCATGAGAAATGCGTTCAACAAACACCAAATTTTCATGAAATGTCCATCAATCCACGTGCGAAGAACCGAGTTAACAATGTAAGTTGTACTCGTCATAAACTTCCAATATCCTCCCGAACAATAGAACTTCCTACCATTTCTCCGTGGTTCATTCTTTCCTACTTCCATATATCTTCTGTAATCAATTTTATGAAATTGAACCATTTATATATGAAGCTCATTACCCATTGCCCCGATGAACCTCTATACGAATACAACCACTAACAAACGACGCTTGGCTAATAGTATTCGACCGTTTTTCATTCTTAATTTCTCGCAGGCACTACATCAAACACATACAAGACACCTAACTATGGCACAATCGTTTTGGTGTAAACAGATCAACAGAACACATAAAATGCAAGGATTAATGATTTCGTAGAGAATCAAAAAATAGCGCAATTACTTGGATTGCATGAGAGCGAGTTTGAGAGGCCCGGACTGAAGCTCCGCCCAACGAAGAGTGCAGACATGAACAGTAAAGTCCAAGCCCTCTGAGTAGAATCTTGCGGCTCTGGGAACGTCCTTGTGTAATTGAAGTATCCACTTAAAAGACGCTGCTGCCATAACTCTCTTTCGAGTTTTCAGTGCATCACTGGGTTAGCCGGCACGAGGAAGACAAAAAAAATGTTACGCTTACGATTTGGAGCGGAGATTAACAGAAATAAGAACTGTACATATGGTGGAACTTACAGTAACGAAATGGCGAAAACAGAAGAAGAAGAGCCCGCCAATGGACCGGCGACGGAGGCTGCGAATTTGATGAAATTAAGATGTGAACGCAATGAACAGTTGGGCGCGGGCGAGATCTACATACAATTTAAGGGTAAATTACACGTGTCAATTGGCTTGAATTTTTTTTTTTAAATATTGTTACGTTTTAAGTATCTTCCCGTACGCTCCACCGATCTCACAAACCCAAATGGACCCACAGTCCCCGCCACAACCCGCCATCACCGCCGCCCCCACGAAGCTCCGTTTGATGTGCAGCTACGGCGGCCACCTAACCCCACGCCCCCGCACCAAGTCCCTCTCCTATTTGGGCGGCGAAACCCGCATAATCTCCGTCGACCCAACCACCGTCAACACCCTCTCCTCCTTCATTTCTCATCTCCTCACAATTCTCCCCATTAAACCGCCCTTTTCCCTCAAGTATCAGCTCCCTCACTCCCCCCTCGACTCTCTTATCTCCCTCTCCTCCGATGACGATCTTCAGCTCATGCTCTACCGGCACCTCCACCTCTCCTCTTCCACTTCCTCTCGCATTAGGCTCTTCATCTTGTTCCCCGAGCCGGAGAAGACCCGTAATGTTATTCATCATCCCAAAACTGAGGCCTGGTTCGTCGATGCGCTTAAGAGCGCGAAGATTTCGCAGAAGGGGCGCGATTTCTTGGTGGGGTTTGATGGGGATGCGTTGATCGGAGAGAATGAAGCTAAGGTTGTTGCAGATTTGGGTAATGGCGGTGTTTCTTTGGCCGAATCCATGCTCTTGGAAACCAGTTCTTCTTTTGAATCATCGTCTTCTTCGGATTTTGGACTCAGTTCTCTGGATAATACTGTTAAGCTGCCGACAACTTCTGATTCCGTCGCAACCCTCTCGAGGTACCTTTGACTTTTGTTTTTGCTCATTTCAATTTACTTAAACATCATCTCTACAATTTTTGGATATAGAATCTAAACCTTAATTTCTCCAAAAATCATACAGATCAGTTTCAAGATCATTTTATCCTTTTATCTTGAGCTCTGATATTGCAGTGTTCTAATTGCCAAAAGAATTTGTAATCTTTACAGCGAGAATCCAGTTCAGAGTAATTTCCATGGCTCTGGAGTTTATCCCCAGAACCCCATTGGCTTTTCAGGGTATGCACTAGCTTCCCGACCAAACTCTTTTCAGCAGCAGGCATTGCGGTTGGTAGATAGCTGCCAGCTTCCTGCCGTGTATCCAATGCCTTCTTACTATCCAGTCCAGCAGCCTCAGTTTGTGCATTACCAGCCAATGCCAAGCCATATATATCCTGTCTACATTTTACCTGTCGGGCAGACACGGGTTTCAGCCCCTTCCAACCTGCCTGCGCAGTGGGACTTGCACAATGCTGCAACCGGGAGTTTAAGTCATCCTCTTCCTCAAGTAGCTTACAAGGAGGTGACGCCAGAGCCACGCACACAAGAGTTTGGAGCAATGGCTATGAAGTCTGCTGATGGAGTTCAGCAGCAACCAGTAAACATTTCTAATGATGCTGCAGCCGCTGCATCTGGTGAAGTTGCTTGTACTCATAATGAATGCGGCGACGACGACGACAACAACGACGATCCAGAAAGAACCTTAATATACAAATCTCAGCCTCCTCCTCCTCCTCCCCTGGTTCCATCTCAGTTGCAAAGTAAAGCTCAAGCCACGACGAACATTCTGTCCGATGCGATGTCGCAGCTGCAGATGATCCAAACCAAACCATAAATCGCATAGTCGTCGTCAATTCTAGTCTATAATCTAAAGTGTGCAAGCATAGTCGTCGTCAATTTGAGCATACTCAGTAGATCATACGTTAATTACTCGATCTGGTTGAACTTCTAGTCTATAATGAAACTATGAAAATTTGCCCCTACGTTTCCTTGTTTCAAATTAAAGTGCCTTGATATTTAGTCTACATCAAATGTATGCATGTAGAGATTGAGCTTGAATTGGACTAAATTTCAGTTGGTCGTTTCCTAAATTAAATATTGTCTTGTTCATGCACGACTTGTTTTTTTTTTTTTTTTTGCTTTCACACTCACCTCTACAACAATCTATAATTAATTTAATTCCAAGTTGACATGTTTTTTTTAATAATAAAAAATGGTCGTGTTGGAAGAACATTAAACATCATATAAAGAATTGCTGTAAGTAGGTTTGATCGGATATAAATAATGCCATTGTAAATAAATAATATTTTTTTGTTTTGTTTTAATTTTGATTGGTTAATTTATTTTTTATTAAGTAAAATTATATAATTAAACAAAATAACTAAAAAAATATTAAAAGAAAAAAAAGTTATTAATTTTCTAATAACAGAAACTAGCTAAACATATGTTATGTGATCGTTTAAAAATTTTCCTAACATGAAAGTGAGTGAGGATGAAACATGTTGAACTCGTGTTGGTATATAGGGATAGTCTTCACTTTTAAGAAACGAAAAAATAGGTAATGTGATCATATCACATGAGAATGTCGAATCCATTAGATGCTGAATATGAATTCCGAATCGTGAACATAAATTGTTACATCGATATTCCATTTTATGTAATGGCTAAATTAAAAAATATGTAAATACCAAATAAGCACATATTAAAAACATTGTGGATAACATACCTAACTTATTAGGACAACATAGGACATCAATTTAAGGAACTTCTAATTTGAACAATTTGTTTCTTTCTTGAAAAAGAGAAGCCATAAAAGTTAGGCACCTCGTGGGGGTCTCTATAATAATTGGGGAAAGCTGAACGTCCCATCGATTGAAACAGTTAAGGTAATTTTGTTAGATGGAGGAGGAGGAGACGGGCCAGAAAAAGGCCACAAAGTATCTCTTCCCACCAGATCCAGTTCTTCAATCAAACGCTTCGCGAATGTGATCAACTTTTGAGACCCGTTAGTTTTTTTTTTTTTTTTTTTTTTTTTTTTTTTTTTTTTTTTTTTTTTTTTTTTTTGTGTGGGTTGAATCTTTTGCATAGTAAATTCGTCGTTTACTTTTCAGCCGGTTGTCGCCTTTCGAGGGGCCAGTGGCTTTCTTCTTCTTACCTCTTTCCTCGTGGGTATTTTCAAAGCCTTGGGACTCTGATAAGAAAGGCGAGGCTTCTTCCTACGGTATAAAATATTTACTTCTTTGCTTTGTTTTGATGTGTGAGATCTTGTAACCACCTCTCATTTTGGGATTTCCCCTGCTTATGATTTCGTTGATACAATGCCGTGGAGGAATGTTGTTGGATCTCTTTTTTGTTTTAAGATTTTCGGCGGCAGGTTTCAGGTTAGTGGGTTACCCAGTTGCTAAATTTCAAGGAAATTTTAATTGCTTTAACTCTGTGAATGATTGATCTGTCCAATGAGTTTTCATATTGATTAGATTTGAAATTGAAATGTGTTCTTCTTTTTGGCATAGATTGAGATTTTTTCTTGAATTGTTTTGGGAAAAATGGTTTTTGTTCAGATGCTGACCAACTGTTTGAATAAATGTCTGTGAGAGCTTTAGGAGCTGCAGAAGCTTTGTATGTATGATACCATTCACTTGGTGGTTAAGCTTTTCTTTGTTTAGGATATAACGAAACGACGAAACGACGAAACGACGAATCGAAAGTAATGGGGTCTTGTTAGAGACTGGTTATGCTCTCTTTTGGGATTCTAGCAAGATAACTTATAGTTGTAGATATTCTGGAGCTCGTAATAATACTTTTCCCCTGAAGGTTTTGTTGGGGTTATTTAGGTTGCATCACAAAGAAGCCCACAGCTTTCCTCCATAACTAGCGATTGCATTCCACCCATTAATTTCCCATTGATAGATCACCATAATCAAGAGCAGCAAAAGGTATCATCTTTTATGCTTTGTTCTTCTCTCTCCCTTTTTCTTTTGTTTCTTTGCATTAGATTACTGATATCTCATTAGTGATTTGATTAATGCTGGTTCGAGAATATTCGCTCATGATTCTCTCTTCTTTCCATAATTATATTTTACAATGGAATGCGCTGCCATGCTACTTAGAAAATCTCTCATTGGTTGGAGAGGGGAACGAAGCTTTCCTTTATAAGGGTGTGGAAACCTTTCTCTAATAGACGCGTTTTAAAATCGTGAGGCTGATTGTGATACAGGTCAAAACGGGCAATATCTGCTAGTGTTGAGCTTAGGCTGTTACAAATAGTATCAGAGCTAGGCACCGAGCGGTGTGTCAGTTAGGACGCTGGTCCCAAGGGGGGCGGATTGTGAGATCCCACGTTAGTTGGAGAGGGGAATGAAGCATTCCTTTATAAGAGTGTGGAAGCCTCTCCCTAGTAGACACATTTTTAAATTGTGAGACTGACAGCAATACGTAACGGCCAAAGTATACAATATTTGCAGCAGTGGGCTTGAGCTGTTATATTTATTTTTTTGTTCTAGTTTCATCGTTTTTCGGTTTTTGTGCTTGCACAGAACAACAGAATGAGGGAAGTGCAGCTTGGTTCACACACGTTAAGGTCTGATGGAGTCACCGTTGCGAGGATACACATGCACGATTGGTTTATATTTCTTCTTCTTGTGCTGATTGAGTTCATCCTAAATCTTTCCCATCCATTTTATCGCTATGTTGGGAAGGACATGATGACTGATCTCAAATTTCCCTTTAAAGATAATACTGTTCCTTTCTGGGCTGTACACGTAGGTTTGCTTGTGTTTTTCTTGTCTATGAAAACCTTTAGATATAAGCTGGAATGGACACTTATGTGAACGCATTTCCTTTTCTTTTCTACATGTGGATGGTTAGATCTATGCAGTTCTTCTGCCAATAGCAGTTTTTCTGTTCGTATATTGGCGCAGAAAGGATGTCTATGATCTTCACCACGCCATACTAGGTGAGATATGTTCCTCATTATTTCCTTTGTCCACATCGATTGGAGAGAGAAACGAGTGCCAGCAAGGATGCTGAGCTTTGAAGGGGGTGGATTGTGAGATCCCACATCGGTCAGAGAGGGGAACAAAACATTCTTGATAAGGGTGTAGAAATCTCTCTATAGCAGACGCGTTTTAGAAACTTTGAGGGAAAGCCTGAAAGGGAAAGCTCAAAGAAGAGAATATCTGCTAGCAGTGGGCTTGGACTGTTACATAGCTGATGTAAACTAGCATACCATGCAGGTCTCTTATACTCTGTCTTAGTAACAGCAGTCATTACCGATGCGATAAAAATTGCAGTGGGACGACCTCGACCGAACTTCTTTTGGCGTTGTTTTCCCGATGGGAAAGATGTGTGTTTCCTAAACTTACTGTTTCTATACACATCTTGCTTGGCTTGATGTTGCATACTGATATCTTGTTTCTCAGGTTTATGATAAACTAGGCAATGTTGTATGTCATGGTGATGAGCATGTTATCAAGGAAGGGCATAAGAGCTTTCCAAGTGGCCATACTTCATGTAAGTTACAAAATGTTATTCTTTCCCTTCTAAGTTGAAAAGTAAGCCATCCCTAGCAAGATACAATAACGACACGATTTTCGATACCGGGAACGGTATTCTTTTGACTCGATGCAGTGTCTTTTGCTGGTCTCGGTTTCCTGTCATTGTATTTATCAGGGAAAATAAAAGCATTCGACCAGCGAGGCCACATTGCAAAACTCTGCATTGTTTTTCTTCCCTTGCTTTTCGCAGCTCTTGTTGGCATATCTCGGGTGGACGACTACTGGCACCATTGGCAGGATGTGTTTGCTGGAGGTCTGCTCGGTACGTACATTTTTCTTTGTCGTCTCGTCACATTCGCATCGTGTACATTACAATAAATAGTTATAAAGAGCTCTACTTTTGCAGGGCTGGTCATATCTACCTTCTGCTACTTGCAGTTCTTTCCTCCTCCATACAAATCTCAAGGTATGGTTTTGACCCCAAAATCGTCGATGTGTGCACGTTGCAGCTCGCTCGTCGGTCATATCTAAACCATGGAATGTTTTTACTTGATTGTGGCTTGTAGGTTGGGGACCGTATGCATACTTTAGAGAGTTGGACATGCTTGCTACCAATACTCGACCTCCAACGAATGGCACATTTGTGGTCAATCAAGAGGATGTCGAACGACAGACCGGGAACGAGGGGGACGACCGAAGCAACGGTAGATTTCTCCTCCTGTCCACCGATTCAAATTCTTGTTTGTCAATGCAGGAAATTGAAATTGAAAGTGAAACTGAGGGGAAATAAGTGCTTGCATATATGTATATTGTTGCTTTGGAGGCTTCCATGGCACAGCATTGCTTGTATGTGTGTGGTGCATAGGCTAACTAAACAATACGGATCGTTTGTATAGCAGTATCTTCTTTGTATACACACAAATACATGAAATTGAATCTCTTTCACCTCCATTTTTTTTTTTTTTTTTAACTTGTGAACTCTTAACTCTTAGTCATATATGTCACCTAATGGTTAGTTGGGTAAATAATACATAGCTCTTTTGTCTATGATATGTCATATGTACCTAAATGTTTTTTCCTTAACACACCTAAGTAGAGATGTAACAATATAAGTCCACCGGTAGATATCGTGTGTTTTGACCTGTCATATATCGTTGTCAGTTTCATGATTTTCAAAACATCTGCTTTATAATGAATGTTTTGTTTCTCTTTTCAACTGATGTGAAATCTCGATCATTCACCCCTTACAAGTCAACATCCTTGTTGGCACATCACTTGGTGTCCTATGGGTTATGGGCCCACCATACTTCTTTTTTTCCTCAACCCACTCCCCTAGGGTCCAACATACTCATTGGGTGGGATGCGTGAGATCTCATATAGATTGGAGAGGAGAACGAAACATTTATTATAAGGGTATGGAAATTTCTTCCTACTATACACTTTAAAGCCTCGAGGAGAAGCCTAGAAGAAAAACCCAAAGAGCACAA